ATACTGACCCTATTCCACTCAATGCTGGTGTAAAACAAGGTTGTCCAATGTCCGCGATCCTGTTCAACCTGTGCCTTGAACTAGTCCTCCGTGCCATTAAGAACAAGGCCGCCTCTCTACCGAACGGTACAGTGTCCCACTTCAGCACCCATATATCCGTCCTCGCATATGCCGACGACCTGGTTATCGTTGCCCGAAACAAACCTACGCTGCAAAAGCTTCTCGATGTTGCTTCCTCCAGCGCCACAACCCTGGGCCTAGAGTTCCGTCCTAACAAATGTGCGTCCCTTTCATTCATCAACGAGCGCCGTCAAGCCCAACGTATTGCAACCAACACCTTCATCGTACAAGATGGCCCCATTCCAGCCCTATCACGTGAAGAAAGCTATCGCTACCTCGGTGTCCCCATCGGTATAATCCACCGGATTGATGATCTCCCATCCATTATACCACGATTAATTGACGATATCACTGCCATCACCAAATCCCTGCTTGCTCCGTGGCAGAAACTGGACGCCATCCGCTCCTTTGTCGAGCCCTGCCTGACCTACGCTCTCCGTGCTGGAAACCCTGCAAAACAGTCGCTTGAACCTCTCCGAGTTGTCCTCATCTCGTCCTTACGAAATATATGTGACCTCCCAAAGCGCTCATCACAGTCCTACTTCTTCGCATCAAAGCACGCTGGTGGACTAGCGTTTCAAGATCCCACGAAGGAAGATGACGTACAAGCCATTGTTCAGGCACTCAGAATCCTTTCCTCGGATGATCCCACGGTCTCGTCCATCGCCCAGAACGAGCTCCGCAGCATCACCAGCAGAGCCACCTCCTCAAATGCCACACCAGCGTTAATATCCGAGTATCTTTCTGGTTCCACCACCAACAGATGTGCCAACATAAATTACACTGCCAGCTCCCTATGGACCCGCTGTCGAAATGCCTGTCGTCGTATGAAGATCGCCTTCCACTTCTCCGACACAGAACCAGCATCGATCACCGCAGATGACTCAGCCAAAATTCGTTCCAAGTCGATATCCCAATTCCTTCACCGGCTGATCCAACAGAGGGCTGCCAATACGCTTATGAATCTCCGTGATCAAGGGAAAGTCGCCCAATCGCTCGCCACCGACCAGTATGCCAACGGATCGACATGGTCTCACACTGGCCTCAACATGAGATTTAAGACTGGCGCTTTATACACAAAGCCCGCCTCAACCTGCTACCCACCAATGCTGTGAAAGCTCGATGGTCCGGATCGTCACCCACTTGTCGCCATTGCGCAGATGTTGAAACCCTTCCTCACATCCTCTGTCACTGCCGACCTGAAATGGTTTCCATCCGTTCCCGCCATGACAAAATCGTTGAACGCTTATCCAATGCCATCCGTTTCGGGGAAGTCACCACCGATCGAGCCATTGCCAACAGTAACTCTCGCCTACGACCAGATATAGTCATCGAAGAAGACAACCAAGTACTTATAATTGACGTCACTTGTCCCTTCGATAATGGTGCCACTGCGCTGGACGAAGCCGCGGCTGCAAAGATCAACAAATATGACATCCTGAAAGATCATTTTACCCAGCAAGGGAAAGACTGCCACGTCCTGCCATTCGTCATTGGTGCCTTGGGCTCCTGGCATCCACCAAATGAACAAGTCCTTCAACGCCTTGGTATGACCCGAAGCTACCGATCGCTATTCAGAAAACTCTGCTGTTCGGACGTCATCCAAGGTTCATGTGACATTTTTCGCGTTCACTTTGGTTGGGACCAAAATGCATCCGAGTGATGCGCTAACTAGGTCTTTTATGCAGTGCACTAGGCACACACGACTTTTATTATTTTCATTCAGACACTGCTCTTATAGTTGTTTTTGTTTCTAAGTCCCCCCTTTATATACACACACACGTAAGCCACTCGGGCACTTGATTCACTAGGAACTCGAACTTGAGAGAGCCCCACTCCTGTTTGACATTTCAAATTGCATGGATCCAAATTTTCAGTAAACATGTTAGGTTATATTGTTGTCTTCCAGCCCTTAGTATTATATTTAGTAAACATTATAAGTGAGACTGATCACCTCACCCCCATAGCATTAGGTTAAGTAAACTGTCCCATCATTTTAGTCATTTTTGAATAAGAATCTGTTCTTATCAGCTTAATATCTGATATGTTAGGCAATGCCTAACTCATATATTAAACTGATTTTTGGCCTTCGGCCCTGGGATTGAAGCTTGCTTCGCCCTGGCCACGGGTTGTCTCGGTATTGCACTACATCCGAGTACGGCCCTCTTCCCCTCAACGGGGGAAGAATCAAATCATTTGAATCGAAACACTGAAAACTCGCTCGGTATAAGTAATTTTATCATCTATAGCATCCGATCTAGTAGCTATCTATCTCATATTCAGTCATTCAACCGGTTCTATATTATTATTATTCAATGCAATAACTTAATTGGCATTGTTCTTTCTAAAATTCTGTTTCGCTACAGTTAAACCTCACATATCAACTCACGCCGCTTTCCATCATTTCAGACGAACCGCCGCAGTCGCCGGACTCCTCGATCGATCGGGAAACCAGTTACGAACAGCCGCATTGATAACCGAAACGGCGAACGTACGTACCTGTATGAATATTATTCACTACTGCAACGCGGCGGCGGTTAACGACCGCGATCGAAACGCTTCGTCGCCACAATTATAAGTCAACGGCGCTGCCACAAAAGCATACTTACCTGACGCGAGAGGCACCTTGTAATTTTAGGGTGTCTAGTCTAGTGAGTATCTATTCCCAAGGGGGTGAACACTAGGTTTACTGGCCCTTGTTTCTCTTCTTTTATTTATTCAGGGGGGGCAAAGGACGGCCTTTGCTGGACTCCCTGTAGGTCTTTATTTTATTTTATTCTATTTTATTTTATTTGGGGGGCAAAGGACTAGCCTTTGCTGGACCCCTTTCTTTGTTGTTTCTTCTTTTTGGGGGGGCAAAGGACTGCCTTTGCTGGACTCCCTTTTTCTGTCTTCCAGGGGGGGCAAAGGACTAGCCTTTGCTGGACTCCCTTACTTCTGTGTGGTTTTTCTTGGGGGGGCAAAGGACTAGCCTTTGCTGGACCTCCTTTCTTTATTTGAATTTATTGGGTGGTAAAGGGATTTGCCTTTGCTAAACTCCCTTGTGTGTTTTGAGGCCATTTTGTGTATATTTAGCCTCTTCTTTGTTAGTGTCTTTTTTAGGCCTCTTTTTGTTACCATTCTTCTGAGGTCTTAGCTCGTTTACTATATCGTTTTTCAATATGTCTTGCCCTAATTTCACTGCTGAGGATTTTGCAAAGTGGAATAAAACATCATCCCTTTTTAAAATCCCAGCACGCTTAATAGCCAAAGAGGGCATCAAAGACATTAGAGTGGCCTTGATTGATGCCATTGGCGCAAACAAGGTTTCGTGTGTGCAGGCTCTGCCAGAACATTGTTTCCGTGTTGATTTTAAGGCAGAGTCTGTAAATATCACTACCAAATAAATGGTCTATCTTTTCGTGGGGTTACCATCACACCCACGCCGGCATATGAAACGCTAACACGTGTTATTGTTGACCGTGCACCAATTCATATGCCGGACAGTTATTTTTCAACTGCGTTGTCACCATTCGGTCGTGTCTCTCGCGTTCAGCATCTGACTGTTCGCAAATATCCTAACATCAAAACAGGGACCCGTATGGTGACAATGTCAATTCTAAAGCCTATCCCGCCCATGCTTCAAATCGCCAACTTTCCTTGTGCGGTGAAGTATCGTGGCCAGCCAAAATACTGTTTTGGCTGCAAGTCTTTTGGGCACCTACCCCGCCAGTGTCCAGCTAGCAAAGACAAAGCTGATGGGTTTTCCTCCAAGGGATCGTCTCTTCTTCCTCGCTCCAAGCATGCGAAAACTTCCTTGCCTGCTGGTCGGGTAACAGATGCTCATGGATGCGAGAAAGTTATATTGGTTGATGCGCCAGCTCACACCACTGCACCTTTACACAGGGCAGGGTCTGCAACCCCATCTCAGACTTCTGCTGTGCCAATGGAATTTTCTTCAGAGATTCCAACGGACAATAGGTCGGGGCTGTCCATCTGCATCAGCCATTTTTCGAGCTCTGAGTCGGTCACCTTGGACGGCTCTTTCACTTGTGTCCGAGAGGTATCTATCGTGGAGCATAGGGTGGTTAAGCCTCGCCCCCCTAAGAAGGATAATTTTATCCGGAAAGGGATTATCAAGAGGCGTAAGATCAACCGCTCCTCTCTTCTAGAGAAAAGGCGTGGTTCACCTGCTGCTCCACCAACGACCCTAACAGAAGATGCTCCCCTCCCTCTCCCAGTTACTTTGGACATCCCAGCTATTCCAACAGCTAATCGTTTTCAGGCCCTCCAAGACCATCTTGAGGACCTTAACGATTTGGATGTCCTTGGACAGTCGGTAGTTCGTCAGCTGAGGGTTAACAAGGTCTATCTGCTCTATGACTAGTTTTGAGAAATAGGCAAATGAAAGTTGGCATGCTCATAAAAGGAATAGAACACAATTTAATACCAAAATGTTTTGATCTTCTACATACTATACACTAGGTTGTTTAATTACAGTTATTTGTGCCTGGCCACCCAGCATGAATTATGGGAAATAGCGGTACTACTTTTGGAGATAGACCTTTGTGACTCTGAATTTTTTGAAAAATTAGAGTTACAAAGGTCTATCTAAAATTAGTTAATTCTGAATGTTTAAAATTTTACCTGCAAAATTATTTTAACAAGTCTGCACTCAATTCAACTTGTCAACATTGTAAACATCAGTTTAAATTTTGATAATCTACTTTTCTATTGATTTTTCTGGGTAATTTCGGTACAAATCTTAGTACATTTAAAACTATGAGGATTGTAAGTATATTAATAATATAAAAAGGTTAATTACTTTCTTTTTAGCTATAATTTATACATAAGTTAATATATTTATAAAAATCACAAGTTAAAAGGTTCATAATGTACTGTAGTTGTGCTTGCAATATCCTCACTTATAATATACGCTGGCACAAAGTTTAAATAACATTACTGTCACGGCTTTCTTGTATCCTAAAGAAGTTTTAGTTACACAAGAAGTGACATAAACTCTCTGTCAGAGGCCGGCATAAATTTCAGCATTGATCTTATGTCCGCTTTCTTAGCCTGGCTAAGACCATCAACAGCTCCAGCAATGGTGGGGTCGGTTACTTGATAGAAAACATTGTTTTTGACTTTGCTTCTTGTCGACTTGTGCTCGAGCACATTCGTTGTAACCAATTCTTCTGAAAACTTGGTCTTGTAGCCAAGGATCTTGGGTTCCATTTGCTTGTAGAGGAGACTCTTGACTTTGGTGAATGGCACCCTGTCATACTTTCCTTGCCGAGCAATGGAACCAAAATCCTTGAAATCTTGTGCCTTCATCTGGATAATTTTCATTGGCTTGCTTCTGTGGACTTTCTTTAGCATCCGCATCAATCCAACAGGGCTGTATATTTCACTATGGCGACACACAGCCTCGATCTGGCTGTGAAGATTGTCTACTTCTTGAACAGAAGAATGGCCAGGCTCACAATACTTGTGCTCTATCGACACAATGTTAGGATGATTTTTGAGGAACACTTTCATAGCAGTAGAAAAAAAACTGTTTCGATTTTGAGGAACGCAAGAATCACTCCATAAAATGATGTTCTTTACTCTTGGATCCTCTGAATTTTCTTCAACAACAGCTTCTAGGATCTTTAGAACTGAACTGGCTATGTCGTTTCCAGCTCGACCACTTTGCCCTTCGTGCCACAGTGCTCCATATCCTCTCTTATCTGCTGAACAGTGGGCGGTCATGAAGTATACATTAAGCTTTCTCTTGTAGAAAAAGTTCGATACTTCAGCTGTTGGCAAGGCAAACACATTTTGCAAATCAAAACACACTGTAAATTTGTTATTATCCTTTCGATCAATGTCTCGTTCAGTCTTAGTTTCCTCCTTCCCTCTTAGGTGAGCTTCAAAATTTTGTTGGTCTTCCTCAGCTGGATTATTCTGAATTTTCATTGCCTCACATGTATCACATCTATCTTTTTTGGGTACATGGAAGGCAATGTTAAATTCGTCATTGAATATTTGTCGGTACAGATGGATTTTACCAGGTGCGACTCCATTACTGGAGCACTGTTTCACATACTCTTCATAAAGAATTGTGACATTAAGACCTTCAGGCAAATATTCTTTTTTTGTGTTCTCCCTATTGTAGTGGGATTCCACACGAGGCAAAGAATTTATATGTTTGCGGATTCTGTCCTTGATTTCTGGTGAAACTACATTGTTTGCACTCTTTCCCCATTGCAAATTTGTAGGTGTCCCACACATTTTCTGTTTGTTTGCATGATAATATTGTATGCGTTTGTGGTTAATATCCAACGTCGTTAAGTAAAATACTTTACAGACTCGAACATTATGGGCATTAACAGGAAGGCTATAACTTAGACTGTTTTTCTTTTGGCTTGGTGTTCCAGCTTTCGAACTTTTTGTTGATTCTTGCTCGGTTGTTTTTCCATAAAAGTGCAATTTCTCGTTGTCACTCATTTTCCAAAACTCATTGAAGATTGCAGACCTATCTTCCACAGTAACATTAGAACTACATTTAAACTGGTATCCTCTGCATAATCTGCAACAATATCCGACCTAAAGTTCATATAAAACTCATCATTATACTGGGACCAATTCCTTAGTATCTTTCAGGTAACATATCTAAGTTCAAATTCCTATTTTCTTCTTAACTGATGTGAGAAATAAAGTCCAATTTGAAATACAAAAATATGAAAATGCTAAAGTTAGTGTAGATACTAATTTTCATTTTTTCGGCCATGTAATATATCAATTTTCAGTCCAATTTTAGCGTATATGACCTCTCGTAATCAATGTCTTCTCAATAAAAGTGAAAAATACGGCTTACCTTTCCAATAAATCGCTGATTTCATTCTCCTTTAAAGTTTTTAATCGCCCATGCTTTCTGGCAGCCATCTTGGAAATGTGATAGACCTTTGTGACTTTGAAATTATGCTAAATTATGCAGATGGACCTTTGTAGCTTTGCCACTGACATTAAAATATTCACAATATCCACATAAATTAGCAATGGACATAGACCTAGTTAACTTTAAAGCTGTTTGAGACATAAACCTCAATTTTGACAAATTTCTCAGATAGACCATGTTAACCCTCAGCTGACGAGTTGACACCGTATTGGTTGATTCTCCGACTGTTAAATCTGCGGAGTCGGAAGTTTTGCCATCTCCGGAAAAAACACCGGTCGTTTCAACACCTCGGCCAGTTCTCTCGGAGTCATCTTCACAGGAGTCAGAGGGAGAATTTTCATCTCCTCCAGCTGCACCTCGAGTGACTAATGCTGAAACAGCTATTGTCCCCATTGATTACCGTTTCATGGATGAGGAGGGTACTCCAAAATCAATGGAGGAAGCTTTAGCTTGTTCTTCTACTCTTGTTGCTGGGACATCATCAGCAGCATCTTCTTCCGTGCCATCTTTGCGTGGCCTAGACTCGCAGGTCGAGTCACCTTTTATAGTTTCCGGTCCTCGGAGTGCTCCTTCCGATGGGCCTTTATCGACGCCTACCTTCCATCAAGGCTCAATTCGTTCCCTCTCTTCTGCAGAGGAGTTGTCGCTGAACCTCCTTTTCCATCAGGAGGCCAGCGACCATTATTTTTCTGAGGCGGAGTTCGTTTCTCCTCCCTCTGATTTCCCAGCACTTCCTGCTCTATGCAGGAGTCTGGTGTTTTATCTTTAATATCTAATGTACAGGCTGCTGAGCCTGAACATTAATGGTCTTAATGACCATTTGAAGCGGACCGCTTTTATTGACTGGTTGAAATGCATGAGAGTTGATGTGGTATGTTTGCAGGAAACTCATGCCGCATCTCATGCTGTCATTAAGAGCTGGTTCCGCAATACAAATTTTTCAGTAGCCTCATCTTGTTTTTCAACAAAACGTTGTGGGGTTGCTGTTTTAGTAAACAAAAAGTTTACTATTTGTGAAGTCTGTAGGGATGACCAGGGTCGTTTTGTTCAGGCAGAGATTATGCTAGACGAAAATAAGATCCGTTTTGTCTCACTATATGCGCCAAACAGAAACCCGGCGCGTAACACTTTCTTTGCTTCGGTTGCCGACCTGATGGACCTCTCGTCACCAACGTACATTGGTGGCGATTTTAACGCCGTGCTTGATCCTAATTTAGATCGCAGGCGACGTAGGTCCTACACTGGAACATCCAAGAACTCGCTGAGGCAGGAGAGTGTTACAGCCTTACAATCTCTGCTGTCTGCCACACAAACATACCCTGTTTGGCGGACTCTTCATCCCTCGGACATCACCTTTTCTTGGGACCATGCCTCGGGAGAGTTTTCCTCTCGTATCGACATGGTGTGGGCTCCCACTATTTTCGAGCAGTCTATTGTTAGCTGCGAATATCACCCCTCTTTCTTTTCTGACCACCGTTATCTACTAGTCAATTTTAACATCAGTGACTTTTTTGTTCGTGGTCCAGGGGTTTGGAAATTTAATACTTCCCTGTTAGAGGATCCAGAGTATGACAAGCTAGTGCGATCCTTTTGGTCTTTCTGGCAAGGCCAGGAAGATCTCTCTATATATAGTTCGTCCCGTGATTGGTGGGATCAGGGAAAGTTTTATCTTCGGGAGATCACTCGTTCTTTTGCTCGCTCCAAGGCTGCGGGTCAGTCGAAGGAGAAGAAGAATTTAGAGAGACAAATTAAAGATCTACAGTCTCTCTTTGATGCGGGTGATTCTTCCGCTTTTGCCCAACTTTGCTCGCTGCAAGAAGCCTGCGTGCATTCACCTTAGGGAGGCAAAGGCCTCTCAAGTTCGCTCTCGTGTCCGCTGGGCCGAGGAGGGGGAGACGTCGTCCAGCTTCTTTCTCAGTTTGGAGAAGAAGCATAGGGCTAAACAATCTATCACCAAGATACGTGACCCCGACTCTGGCATTATCCATCACGACCCTTTTGACATTTTGGGTACGTGGCAGCGGTACTACGAGCGGCTCTTTACCACCGAGGTGTGTGACACCACCGCCCAGGAGCAAATGTTGGGTAACCTTAAACGCTCCCTCAGCAAGGCGGACATGGAATCTTGCGAGGGAAAATTATCCAGCCAGGAGTGCTTTCGGGCTCTCTCTGGAATGGCACGTGGCAAGACGCCGGGTTCGGATGGCTTCCCCATGGAGTTTTTCCTCCACTTTTGGGATGACCTCGGAGCTGATCTTGTCCGTGTTTTGAACATTGCCTATGATGAGGGCTGCCTATCTGCCTCTCAGAAACGTGGCCTCATCATAGTGTTATATAAAAAAGGTGACCATCTGGAAACCAAAAACTATCGTCCCATCAGCCTCCTCAATGTGGACTATAAGATCGCCACGAGAGCTTTGAGTGGTAGGCTGTTGCGTGTTATGGGATCCATCGTCGGCTCGGATCAAACGTGTGGCATTCCTGGCCGCACGATCTCGGAAAATCTCTCGCTGGTGAGAGATCTCATCGAGTACGCCGACCGATCCGACATGCCCTTGGCCATTCTCTCATTAGATCAAGAGAAGGCCTTTGATCGCGTTAACTGGGCTTTCCTCCAGCGGGTTCTGGAGCGTTTCGGTTTTGGCGATTCCTTCCGGCGATGGATCAACCTTTTTTATACAAACATTGAGTCTGCCGTTGTCATAAATGGTTGGACTTCTTCCTTTTTCTCTCCCTCCAGGGGAGTTCGACAAGGATGTCCATTATCACCCCTTCTCTACGTGCTTTGCATTGAGGTTTTAGCCGTTGCCATCCGTGCTTGTCCAGATATTCCAGGAGTAGCCTTGCCGGGCCGTGACACTTTCTTCAAGTGTTCCGGCTATGCCGATGACACGTCGATTGCCATCACGACGGACGGCTCTTTCGAGGCTGCTTTCAAAGTCTATGGACAGTACGAGCTCGCCTCTGGTGCAAAGCTTAATCGAACAAAGTCGAAGGGTCTTTGGTTGGGAGCTTGGAAAGGTCGCCAAGACTCTCCATGGGGTATCCAGTGGGTCAAAGAACTCCCACTTCTTGGAGCCACCTTTAGCGCTGGAGACTATTCTGTTGCCACCTGGGAAGCTCCGGTCGCAAAGGTTGAGTCTCGCCTGGCCTCATGGAAAGGTCGTCAGTTGACCTTGCAGGGCAAGGCAACTGTTATAAATACCCTTGCTCTCAGCCAAATTTGGCATCTTTGTCACAACTTTGTAATCCCAGATTGGGCTTGTCGTCGCTTGAAGAAGGCAGTCTGGGGTTTCTTTTGGTCTGGCCGCAAAGAGCTTGTGGCCAGGAAAACCGTTTGTCTTCCCAAGAGTCAGGGTGGGTTTGGAGTTATAGACTTTGAACTGAAAGCGATGGCGTTCTCCGTTCAATGGGTCCGCCGCTACTTCATGCTCACCGCTGGCAATTGGAAGGCCTTTTTTAGTTTTATATTATTCTTGTACTTCTCTCTATCCAGCACAATTCTTTGCTACGAGTAACCATACTCGTCAGTTACTGTCTCTCCTCCTCCGTACTACAACAAATCGCACGCGCCTGGTTCACTTTTGACGGTGGAACTATATCAGGCGTTCCATCTCTTCAGGTATCCACTCCACAACCACGCACTCTTTTCGATGTCACCTCCCGTTCGGCCTACGTCATCGGTCGAAACAGAATTAAGCATGAGCCTCACTGCATTGGCAAGTTCTTACCAACATATGGTCGGCTGTACTGGTCCGAAACATGGAATCAGATCCATTCAACATCCCTGGACCGACCCATAGTTGATGTGAACTGGAAGATCGCGCATGGAGTTCTCTACACCGCCTCCCGTCTCGTTACTTCTTTTGGGATGGCTAATATAGATCTCCAATGCCATTGCCGTGCAGCTGATGAAACTCCGGAGCATCTCTTCTTCGAGTGCTCGTACGCTCAAATTCTGTTGGGATGGGTGCATTACCATCTCGTGCAGGTTGACAAGAATGCGGAACCCTTCACCGTTGAAGAGTTGTTGTTTGGCCTCTGCAAGCAGCGTCGTCCCGACGTCCCTATCGTCATCAAGTGGATGCTTCAGGTGGTCAAACATCACTTATGGGTTTCTAGGTGCGACTATCGATTCCGGGATGTTTTGCGGACGGAGGCAGAGATCTTACAGGCTGTGATTGAGAGAATCAAATTTCTTCTTGGTGTCCTTGCTCGCCGTTGCCGTTCTGTTACGGATTCTCAAACTTTCGAGAAAGAATGGCTAGCAAAGAAAACCTTAGGACACTTTGAAGGCGAGAAGCTGGTCTTCTCTTTTAATTAATTAATTAAATTTATTTCTATTTTTATTATTTATTAATAGGTTTAAATATACCCACCGCGTCAATAAATAATAGCGGGTGTATTTAAAGAGGTGGTAGGGATCGTCCCCCTAGCTCGTTTGCGTGCCGGTCGCACCCTCCTCGATTTTGGTTAAATCCATTGCACTTTCCTCAGTAGGAAAGGATTTACCAAGTTCAAAATAAAACTTACCTGACGCGAGAGGCACCTTGATCAACTAGGAGGTCCTCTCAGGATGAGGCCCTTTCATTGCACTTCGACTGGGTTGACTCCTGCGATTACCCCTAATGTGGGTAACTCGAGCGTATAATTTCTGGTAGTGGGGACCTGCGTTCGCGCTCGTCCCCTTCTCCCCCTTCGTCAACCACATCTTATTCATGATTCAAACAAAAAATCGAAAAACAATCTAAAACTCAGAAGCGTGCGTCGTGTGAAAGCTAATAACAACTTGATTTTTAACAACGGTGCCGCCGCCGGGTTGTCACAAGTTATTAAGTGTAACCGAATCTCGGAAAATCGTTCGAAATTCGACACCTATTGATCAGCTCTCGCTACCGATCGACGGATGGCGTGCCGGTACTACATACATACACATATACTACCACCGCTACCGCAGCGTCGAGAGGTTCGTCACACTATATATAACAACGTCTCGGATATCAGCACATACCACAGCACCACAACTCTTGCGAGGCAACACATCGACGTAGATTATAACCAACTACCTTTCGGAACTGTTGTGAAAGCAAATGACCGAAAAAAACCGCAAAAAACAGCTCCCCTAACCCTAACCCTAACTCTCGACAGTAATGAATGGCTCGGCGGCAG